AAAATGAAGATAGAGAGGACCATGGAGTTGACTTGGTCAGTAAAGTGCTTGATGAGCAAGCATGAGGATCTGAGTTTGATCCTTTATTAAAACCCACGTGGAAAAGCTAGGTGCAGTGATGTGTGCCTGTAAGCCCAGTGCAGATGAAACAGGGGCAGGAAGATTCCTGGCAGAATCAGGAAGCTCCAGGTTCAGAGAAACCATGCCTTAAAACAAGGTGAAGGGGGTTAGAGAGATATCTTAGTGGTTAAAAGGGTTTACTGCTCTTATAGAGGACCTGAGTTCAACTCAGCACACAGGTCAGGTGTCACAACTGACTTTAACATCATCTACAGAAGATCCAATGACCATGTCTTTCTCCATGAGCACTACACTCCATGAACACACATTCTTACATACACATAATTAAAAATAAAAATAAAATATTACCAGGCAGGGTGGCACATGCTTTTAATCTGGGCACTTGGGAGGCAGACAGAGACACAGAGGCAGAGGCAGAAGCACTCTGAGTTTGAGGCCAGCTACACAGTGAAAACTTGTCTCAACGCCCCCCCCCACAACAAATAAGCAAATAAAAATTTTTTAACATTTAAAAAAATTTATTTTAAAAACACTCTTATTTATATATCCATCCCCCCATTCCCTCGCCCTCCCATCCTCCCATGCTCCCCACCGACCCCCAACCCACCCCCCACCCACTCCTCAAGGATAGTGAGGCTCTCCACGGGGGACCATCAAAGTCCTTCACATCATTTGGGGGAGGGCCCAGGCCCTTCTTCCCATATCTGGGCTTGCAATAGAATCTTTCCATAGGGAATGGGCTCCCAAAGTCCATTTGTGCTCTAGAGATAAACACTGGCTCCATTGTTAGAAGTCCCATAGACTGCCTTGGCCTCCAACCTGGCACCCACATTCAGAGGGCTTGGTTCAATCCAATGCTGGTTCCCTAGCTTTACAACTAGGATCTCTGTGCTCTCACTAAGTCAGGTCAGCAGTTTCTGCAGGTTTCTCCAGCACCATCTTGGCATCTTGGCTCCTTTGCTCAGTCCTCTTCCTTTCCGCAACTGGATTTCAGGAGTATGGCTCAGTGTTTAGCTGTGGGTGCCTGCTTCTACTTTGATCAGCTACTGGATGAAGGCTCTAGGAATGGTAACCAAGGTAGACATCAATCTCATTATAGGGGAAGGGCATCAAAAGCAGCCTCTCCTCCACTGCCTAGATTCTTAGTTGGGTCATCCCTGTGGATTCCCTAACATTTCCCTGGTGCCACACCTCTCTCCAAATCTGTACTGGCTCCCTCTATCAAGGCATCTCTTTTCTTGCCCTCCTCTATTCCTTCCCTGTCTCAGTCCTCCTGTTCTCCCCCCTCCCCTTCTCACTCTCTCCCCTTCCCACTTCCCTCCCCGCCCCATGCTCCCAATTTGCTCAGGGGTTCTTGTCCCCCCTCCTCTTCTTCGTGGGACCATGCATTCTTCTCTTGGGGTCCTCGTTTCCTAGCTCCTCTGGTGGTGTGGATTGTAGGCTGGTTATCCTTTACTCTATGCTAAAATCCATGTATGAGTGAGTACCTACCATGTTTGTCTTTTTGTTACTGGGTTACCTCACTCAGGATGGTTTCTTCTAGTTCCATCCATTTGCCTGTGATTTTCAAGATTTCATTGTTTTTTTCCCGCTGAGTAGTACTCCAATGTGTACCACATTTTCTTTATCCATTCATCAGTTGAGGGACATCTTGGTTACTTCCAGGTTCTGGCTATTACAAACAACACTGCTATGAACATAGTTGAACGTATGTCCTTGTTGTACAAATGTGCATCTTTGGGTCTATGCCCAAGAGAGGAATGCCAGATCTTGAGGCAGACTGATTCCCATTTTCCTGAGAAACCGCCATACTGATTTCTAAAGTGATCATACAAGTTTGCACCCCCACCAGCAATGGAGGAGTGTTCCTCTTTCTCTACATCCTCTCCAGCATAGACTGTTATTGGTGTTTTTGATTTTAGCCATTCTGGCCAGTGTAGGATGGTATCTCAGAGTTGTTTTGAATTGCATTTCCCTGAGAATGGTGAGTACTTTCTTAAGCCATTTTAGATTCCTCTATTGAGATTCTCTATTTAGTTCTGCACTCCACTTTTTAATTTCATTGTTTGGTGTTTTGGTGGCTAGCTTCTTGAGTTTATTGTATATTTTGGAAATTAGCCCTCTGTCAGATGTGGGCTTGGGGAATATCTTTTCCCAATCCGTGGGCTGTTGTTTTGTCTTGTTGACTGTGTCCTTTGCCTTACAGAAGCTTCTCAGTTTCAGGAGGTCCCCTTTATTGATTTTTTATCTCAGTGTCTGTGCTACTGGTGTTATGTTCAGGAATTGGTCTCCTGTACCAATTTGTTCAAGGATATTTCCTACTTTCTCTAATACTTTCAGTGTGGCTGGGTTTATGTTGAGGTCTTTGATCCATTTGGACTTAAGTTTTGTGCATGGCGATAGACATCTGCATTGTTCTACATGCCAGCATCCAGTTATGCCAGCACCACTTGTTGTAGATGCTGTTCTTTATTCCATTGTATAGCTTTGGCTTCTTTGTCAAAAATCAGGCATTCATAGGTGTGTGGGTTAATATCAGGGTTTTCAACTTGATTCCATTGGTCTACCTGTCTATTTTTGTGCCAATACCAAGCTGTTTTCAGGATTATAGCTGTATAACAGAGCTTGAAATCAGGGATGGTGATGCCTCCGGAAGTTCTTTTATTGTACAGTATTGTTTTGGCTATCCTGGGTCTTTTGTTTTTCCATATAAAGTTGAGTATTGTTTTTTCAAGGTCTGTGAAGAATTGTGCTGGATTTTAATGGGGATTGCACTGAATCTGTAAATTGCTTTTGGCAAGCCTGCCATTTTTACTATGCTGATTCTACCTACCAAGAACATGGGATAGCCTTCCATTTTCTGGTATCTTCCTTATTTTCTTTCTTTAGAGACTCAAAATTCTTATGATACAGGTCTTTCACTTTTTTGGTTAGTGTTACCCCAAGGTACTTTATGTTGTTTGTGGCAATAGTAAAGGGTGATGTTTCTCTGATTTCTTTCTCAACACATTTATCATCTGTATATAGTAGGGCTACTGATTTTATTTTTTTAGTTAATCTTGTATCCTGCCACTTTGCTGAAGTTGTTTATCAGCTGTAGGAGTTCCTTGGTAGAATTTTTGGGTAACTTATGTAAACTATCATATCATCTCCAAAATCTTTATCATGAAGGGATGTTGGATTTTGTCAAAGGCTTTTTCAGCATCTAGTGAGATGATCATGTGGTTTTTCTTTCTCAGTTTGTTTATATGGTGGATTACATTGATGTATTTTCATGTGTTGAACCATCCCTGCATCCCTGGGATGAAGCCTACTTGATCATGGTAGATGATTTTTCTGATGTGTTGTTGGATTCAATTTGCCAGTATTTTATTGAGTACTTTTGCATCAATGTTCATGAGGGATATTGGTCTGTAGTTTTCTTTCTTAGTTGTGTCCTTGTGTGGCTTGGGTACCAAGGTAATTGTAGCCTCAAAAAAAGAGTTTGGCAATGTCCCATCTGCTTCTATTGTGTGGAATACTTTGAGGAGAATTGGTATTAGCTCTTCCTTGAATTTCTGGTAGAATTCTGCACTGAAGCCATCTGGCCCTGGGCTTTTTTTGGTTGGGAGACTTTTGATGGCTGCTTCTATTTCATTAGGGGTTATAGGTCTATTTAAATTGCTTATTTGTTCTTGAGTCAACTTGACACAGGTAGAGTCATCAGAGAGGAGGGACCCTCAATTGAGAAGATGCCATGAGCAAGCCATGATGAGCAAGACAGTAAGCAGACTCTCCATGGCTTCTGCATCAGCTCCTGCCTTCAGGTTCCTGCCCTGCTTGAGTTCTTCTCATGACTCCCTTTGATGATAAACTGTGATGTGGCAGTATAAGCCAGATAAGCCCTTCCTCTCTGTGTTTCTTTGGTCCTGGTGTTTCATCACAGCAATAGTAACCCTGACTAACACAGAGCTGGGGTACTCTGTAAGGGTATTATGTGCTCTGCCCTTAAACATTGAGACATCTGTCAGCCCCAAAAGCTTGTAATTTTATAGAAAGATAAATCAGTTGAGATTTGAGTAAGAATTAGAAGTACAGACACTGTGCACAAAAGAGGTGTTAGTTAGGATTCGGAGAATATTAGTGCCATGTCAGAGAGTCAGACCCATGGTCTCTCACTGGCCTGGAACTCACCAAATAGGGTAGGTTACTTAGCCAGTGAGCCCTAGGGATCCTCCTATCTCTGTCTCCCTAGTGCCAGGCTTACAAACATCCATCATCATCCCCAGCATTTTTTACATGGGTAGTGTGTGGCTCTAACTCAGTTCTCCTCCTTTCAAGGAAAACAGCCTCCTAGCCTCAAGCTGCTTCTTTGTGATAACAGAGATGGACTCCTGGGGCTTTGCAAAAGTTAAGAAAGTTTTCTACAGATCACTGAGCTACACTTTCAGCCCCAAGGCAACCTTTAAAAGTTTTTTGTTTCTTTTAAGTTTTAATATTGTGTATGTGTGTCAGAGTGTGGGTTCGCATACATGAGAAAAATGCCTGTGGAGGCTCAAAGGAGTATCAGATTCCCTGGCGTGGAAGTTAAGGCATTTGTGAGCTGGGAAGTAAACCCTGGGAAAACAGTGCATGCTTTGAACTGCTGGGCTAAAGCAACCTTTCTATTTGATGTCAATACAGGAAGAGCATCAGTTGTGACTGGTAGATTACAGTGTAAGACTTGACTTCTACGGTCAGCTCTCTCACCAAGTTAGGTTGACCTTCAGCGACTTGATATTTTTCCTGAGCTTTCACTCTGGTGTTCTAATTCAGAGACTTGACCAGTTACTATGTCTGAGATACGATTCAGGGGCCACTGGGAAAGTTCTATTCAATGTAGTTGGATGGAAGAAGGAAGAGCATGTTTTTGTCTCACCTTGGTTTCTCTCCTGTCACAGGCCAGTGTCTCATCTGGGTCCAGTGTTCATCTTCAAAGTGTGAGAAATGGAGGCAGCTACGTGGAGACATTGATCCCTCAGTTCTCCCAGATAATTGGTCTTGTGATCAGAATCCAGGTACAAGGGAATGGAAATGCCCCCCACCCCAGTTTTTATTGCTCCTCTGTTTCTTTCCCAGCATGTCTCCTTTAAATTAAGTACAACTTAGATTTGGCTGGTATTGAGGGGTCCTTGTGGGGACTGGGAAGGGAGGATTTTCCTGTTCTGTGGGAGGAAGGCATTGGTGCCCTGGGGACCTTTATGTCTATACTGAGCCGATTCCACCTATGTCAGCCTTGTCTGATCGTATCCATGCTTCCTGGAATATTGGTGTTGGATTATGGATAGAGAGGGATATATGACATGTGGGGAAAAGCAAGTGAGCTTAGCATTCATTCTAGAATGTTTGAAACGGTTTGGGACAGACTATAACCAGCTTGTCCAGTGCACTTATTTTCCAGATGAGAAAGCCTCTTAGAGAAACCACCCCCACACTGATCCATAGAGGGGGCAGGTCACTCTAGGATGTGAGCAGCTATCTGTTTTTGGAGGCAGCACTCCTCTCGGCTCTAGCTGCATTTCCTCTCTGGGTTTCTATTCTCTCCCACCTGCAGCCTGTACCACTTCCTTTTTCCCTCTCTGTGGCCCACATCCTAGTTTGACCCTTTGAGCCTCCCGTGTCTACAGTCCTTCTCTTTTGGCAGACCTGAATTATAATCGCTGTGATATTCCTGAGGAGACTTGGACAGGGTGTGAGAGCGATGTGGCCTATGCCTCCTATGTTCCAGGATCCATCGTCTGGGCCAAGCAATACGGTTATCCCTGGTAGGACACCATGACAGAGATCATCTTTCCTGAACGTGGGAATGGTAGGGTCAAGTGGGGAGGAAAGGATGTGACAATCATTTGTCATAGATGTGGTATCTTCATTAGAAAGAGCATCAGTGAAGGAAAAGACAGAGGGCTAATCTGGAAGGCTGTGGAAGACTGTAGGTTCCTGAGTGGAGGTGGGATCTCTGGAAAAATGGGTCCATTGATGCTGCAGTGAGTTTTTGCTTTGCATTGTTTTTGAGACAATGCTGACCCTGAACTTGAAATCTTGCCTAAGTTTTCCTGGTGCCTGGATTGTAAGCCATATTGTCACCAAGCCCTGCTTCAAGACATTTAAAAATGTTGAGATATGACAGGCATGCAAAGTAAAGAGAAGGATGAGTAGGTTACCTCTTCTGGCCATGTCCCCAGTCAGAGGCTCTGTTCACAGGCTTGCTAGGATGACTGAGCTCTCTTTTATACTGGTGGAAGTCATGTCAGTCATTTGGTAGTGAGCACCAGTAGGGACTAACGGAGTATAGCATTTGGATTTCCTATAAAACATCTTGCTCATTTCCATGTGTGTATGATGGTGAGGTTGTGTTCTGACTGTAGGCCCTTTCTCTCCCATCCCATCCCTCTTCCCAGGTGGCCAGGCATGATAGAAACTGATCCTGACCTGGGGGAGTATTTTCTTTTTTCGTCTCATCTTGATTCCCTGCCGGTGAGTTTCCTGGTTCTGGTCCAACATATTCAGAGTTAGAAACATAGATTTAGCCAGTAGACACGTGTGGAAGCAACCACTTAATGAGAATGACAGATATGGAGGGAAGATAAACACATAGAGAGATGAACTTGCATTGAGATACATTTGCTTCCTAGCAGGGTATTTTTGTTTTGTTCAGTACACATTGCCTGGGATTCCTGAAGTCAGAGTGGAGTGAGCTGGGTAGGTGAGCCAGGGCTCAGGGAGTATATGAGCTCCAGCATCTTCCCTGTGAATCACCCTCCACCCTGTCTTTCTCTACCATTTCTGACAAGGGAAAATCAGAGAGAAGGGCAGGAACCCAAACAAATCCACCTTTTGTTACAGTCCAAGTACCATGTGACATATTTTGGAGAAAGAGTTTCTCGTGCGTGGATCCCAGTCAGCATGCTGAAGAACTTCCAGGAGCTGTCCCTGGAGCTAGTTAGAGGGGTGAGCAAACTTTGGGTATCTATTGTGATACAGGGAACAGGTTTCTTTTTGTGAGTCTTTGCTGTTCTTTTGAGAGAGGGTCTCATATACCCCAGGCTGGCCTGGAACTGACTATGTATTTAAGGATGACCTTAAACTTCTGATCCTCCTGTTCCCAGTCTCCCAAATCCTGGGACTACAGGCAAGTACCACAACACCATGTTCTGAGTCAGTTTGGGAGTCTCAGCCATAAGGGCCCAGGTTAACCCAGGGTTTCTCAGTCCCAGCACTATGGGTATCTTGGTCCAGATAACCCTTTGCTGTGCAGGTGTTAACAGCACCTGTTTCTGCATGCAGGTGTTAGCTTGAATCTATTCTGCATGCAGGTGTTAGCTTGAATCTATTCTGCATGCAGGTGTTAGCAGCACCTGATCTGCATACAGGTATTATCAACACCTATTCTGAATGCAGGTTTTGGCAACACCTGTTCTGCATGCAGGTATTAGCAGCACCCCTGGACACTGCAGCATCCTCTACCATATGTCTTGCCCTTTTCTAATTGTGACAGCCAAATAATTGTTCCTAAACCTTGTCTTCTGGGTGATAGTGTTCCCTAGTTGAGAGGCATGTGCTTACCTAAATTGTATTTCCTCCCTGTAATCATTTTGGGTTTCACTAGCTTTAAAGAGAGCAGAGATCCTGCAGACCAACAAGATGACCTTTGGGATTATGGAGTTGGGAGAAGAAATGTTTGTTGTATGCCTTCTATTCAATAAAACTGTGAGCATTAAATTGTTGGTTTAGGGGAACTTGTGAGGAACTGAAAAGTGAGTCACTTGAACTTCTGTCTTCTTTGCCCTCAAATCCCTGGGTGATTCACTGTGGAGAGAGCACCGAAATGTCACAAGTTTATTGGGAAGGAGAGTGTTGTTTCTGATCAGAGTGTTGTGTCAGTAATTGGAACTGATAGTTAAGTACCTGTAGTTAGGATAATGTCTAAGTCAAGCATGGTGATTCACATCTATAATTCATCACTTAGGAAGCTGAGGCAAGAGAGTTGCTGTGAGTTTGAGGCCAATTGGCTGTAGTAAGTGCCAGGCCAGACTGAGTTACAGTGTGTGATCCTGTCTCAAAAAAAAAAGTGATAATGTCTGGTGGGTAGTGGTATGTTGCGGTCACTTTTCTAATATTATTATTGATTAATTTTTGTTTTAAAAATATTTATTTAAGGGCTGAAGAGATGGCTCAGAGGTTAAGAGCACCGACTGCTCTTCCAGAGGTCCAGAGTTCAATTCCCAGCAACCACATGGTGGCTCACAACCATCCATTATGAGATCTGGTGCCCTCTTCTGATGTGCAGATAAAAAATGGAAGCAGAATGTTGTATACATAATAAATAAATAAAATCTTAAAAAAGTATTTATTTTTTAAAAAAAGAAAAGCCAGGCGGTGGTGGCACATGCCTTTAAAGGCGGATCTCTGTAAGTTCAAGGCCAGTCTGGTCTACAGAGTGAGTTTCAGGACAGCCAGAACTGTTTCACAGAGAAACCCTGTCTTGAAAAAACAAAACAAAACAAAATTTATTTTGTTTTTAATTGTGGGTGTTTACACGTGCATGCAGGTACCTACTGAGGTTGAAGTTTAGATGATTATTAATTGCCTGATGTAGGTGCTGAGAACTGAGCTTGGGTCCGCTGAGCCATCTCTCTGGCCCCATATTGAATAATTTCAAGAATTACTAGTTATTTCAGAGTTTCTCTATTAACTTTTTTTAAAGGTATATGTTTCATGAATTCTAATCTATTTCAGAAAACATGTAGGAACAAGGACTACAACCAGAAACTGGAGGCAGCCATAGCAATGGCTCACAAGGCAGAACAGATCAATATTCAGGTGGGCAAGTGCTCAGCCCACATGCTGGGTCCCATCCAATCCAAAGGGAATCCACTCCTGCTGCCCCACAGCAGGGAACTGGTGGCCATCCCCATTGCTGCTCTTATTTTAGAGCTTGTGCTTTCCTTACTAGCCAGGTGTCCCTGATGCCTAAGCCACCTACTCCTTCCCTGTCCTAGGACAGGTGGTGTATTCTCTCAGCCCAAACACAGCTTTTACCCTCCGATTCCACTGGAAGGAGCAGGGGTGGGGGTAGAGAATGAGGTAGAGGTAGAGAATGACATGTGAATTTCTCTTTCCTAGTTACTTGTTCCATCATGAATAAACTAGAAAAGAGACTATAATTAATCTCCATTAAAGGTTCAAATAAAGCTAATGTGATATTTCAAGTGAAAATGGTTTGGAAAATGAAAGCAGATTTTTGTCATAACTAGAATCTAGAAGACAGGGCAAAAGCTGGGTCTGGGAGGGTGGTGGCTGACACTGTTGTTTCTTGGTTCTGCAGGAGCGGGTTAACTTGTTTGGTTTCAGGAGTCGATACAGTGGATCTGACAGCAGTGGGGAAGGGAAAGGTAGGAGAATGGGGTAGGAGGGTATAGAGCCCCTTCTTCCACAGGACCCAAGTCTGCACTGTCTGCCCCATTCCAGATTCTCTAGTGGGTGTGTTTGTGACTGTGACGCACACAGCTGGGGAGGAGAGGATAAGACAGGGTGTGTGAGTAGTGAGGAGTGGGACCATGGTGACATGGGAACCATCCGAGGACCCAAGCAGTGTTTGAAGATGGATTTCCTGAGGTCGCCTCCACCTCACCTAGTGCATCTTGGATACATAGTCTTCTTCCTTCTTCTAGATTTGATGCTCCGTGAGTCCAGCAGCCCCGAGTCTTGTCTGCAGAAAGAGAAGGACTCAGGGGAGGAGGAGAAAGAAGAGAAGGAAGTAAAGCTTCAAATACTGTTTTAGAGAAAGTTCTTGTTACCTTCTCCTTGGGATTCCTGAAGGGATGTGGTTGGCATAGATTTTGGGTATCTGTGAACCATCCAGCCCCAGGCACTGACTGACTGGCCCCACCATGAGGATCTCCAGGAAGAGAGGCTTTCCTTCCTCATTGTGGGACTTTCTCAGCCCTTTAGGAAATTCCTTCTTGATCACAGTCTCAAGTTGTGCTGTGTTTCTTCGTTTTTTCATGTAATTTTAGGGAACCCCCAGTTGCTTTTCCTACTCCTTTCTCCTGTGTGATTTAAGATGTCACCCATTTTCTTAGCATCACTTCAAAACATGTGTTTTCCACTTTCTTTTTTAGTTCACCTTTAAAAAATTATTATTACATCTATTTACTTAGGGGTGGGAATGCAGGCCAGAGAATAATTTGAGGGAGTTGGTTCTCTCTTTTACCTTATGGGTCCCTCCAGTTGAACTCCAGTTTTCAGGCTTGAAGCCACTGAGCCATCTCACAGTCTCTGATTTACCTGCCCCCAGGCTAATTTCCTCCTCCTTTGCATTCAGTCTTTTCGTTGACTGGTACTAAACACAATGGGAAAGGGGACCACATGTTCCCTCTGTGCTGATACAGATTTAAACTGCATAAGGCTGCCCTCAAACCTAATGTGACTCTCTGAATCCCACCATTGTTCTGTAGCACCCCTCTACTAAAAAGAGAATGTGTGTGTAGGTGCATGTGTGTGTGTAGGTGTGCACACATGTATGTGCAAATGCATGCAGAGGCTAGGGGTCAATCTCAGGTGTCATAATTCAGGTGCCATCCACCTTGGTTTTTTGAGGTAGATCTGGAGCTTGTTCATTTAGCAGTCTAGCTAATAAACCCCAAGGATGCACCTGTTTTCATGTCCGGGTTCCAGGAAGCTTTTATTGTTTGTTTGTTTGTTCTTTGAGACAGTGTTTCTCTTTGTAACAGTCTTGGCTATCCTGGAATACCTTTGTAGATCAGGCTTCCCTAGAACTTATTGCACAGCTTTTTTTATGTGTGTTCTGGAGACTGAACTCAGTTCCTCATGTTTGCCTGGGGATCACTTACTAGGTGCCTGCTCAGTTTTTAGAAAGAGTTTTGTGATTCAATTTGCCTTTTTCTGTTCTTTCCCTATTGAAGGACCCAACTTTGCCTAAACCCAAGCCAGCTAAAATACAGACCAAAAAAATCAAGTCCAGAGGTAAGGAAGACAGCAGGAAAGGGGCAAGTCCCACACGTAGGGAGGGCTGAGGCAGAGTGTTTTCCGGTAGCTGCGCTGGACTGAATCTCATCTCCAGGACCTGAGAGAACAGGCCGGGCTGATGCCAGGGAGGAAGTCATAGCCCCTCGTTCTTGTTTCCAAAGTCTTAGGTTAAAGGTGTAGGGCTCAGCTTGGTCACCAAGGTTGATTTCTTGGAGAAGGCTGGTTCTAAGGAGAACCATAGTAGGGAGAAGACACTGGGGCAGCAATGTCAAAATGGCTGGGACTGGAAGCCACTGAGGGAACTGCTAGACTGAGAATGAGCCAGAGATGTAGAACACAGCAAAAGCCAAATGTGTGGCCACCATCTGCCATGCCAAGCTATCAACACATTTTCTTTATGCTTGGGGCTGGGGCTTACACAGGCCCAGCAGGAGGACAAGGTGGGCGTCCAAAAGAGAAGACTGTGAAGAAGTCTCTGAGCAGTGAGTCCACAATCCCTCTTGCACCCGTATTGGGAGGAAAAGAAGAACAGGGGAATTCAGAACTGGGCCATCCAGGTAGGGCTCAGAGACTCGAAGGCCATGGGAAAATGAAGCCCTTGTCTGCATCTCCGCTCTCTGGGTCATTTCTGAACATTCTATAACTCCTCATGCTTTTGTGTTGCAATAGGAGAGTTATGAAGTTGAGGCTAGCCCATGTTACATGTGAGTTATAGGCTAGCAGGGCTATAGAGTGGGGCTCTTTTTCAACAACACCAAAAAGTGGGGGGAGAGAAAGAGGAGAAGGAGGATATATGAAATTCTGAATGAAAGGCCATGTCTCAAATTGAACCTAGAACATACTTTATAAACTTAATTGTGCCCAGTTGTAGTTTGGAAGGCCTTTAATCCCAGCACTCATGAGGCAAAGGCAGGCAGCTCTCTGAGTTCAGGACATGATGTCTCGCTAAGTCTTTCAGGTGTTCTGTGTATAGATATTTGGCATTTTACACTTACCTGTTTTGTTTGTTCATACATGTGTGCATGCCATGGTGCAGATGTAGAGGCCAGAAGACAACTTTAGGAGTCAGTTCTCTCCTACCATGTGGGTTCCCCACTGAACCATCTCACAGACTTGTTTGTTTTGTTTTTGAGACAGAGTCTCACTATGTAGCCCTAGCTGACCAGAAACTCACTCTGTAGATCAGGCTGGCCTCAAATTCAGAGATTTGCCTGCCTCTGCCTCCCAAGTACTGGGACTAAAGGTGTGGGTCACCATGCTCAACTCCTGATTTTTTAAACATAATAAGGTTAATTCTTTTGAGAATTTTTTTCTTTTTCTTTTTTTTTGTGGGGTGGGAAGGTTGGGGTTCAAGAAAGAGTCTCTCTCTGTCACTCTAGCTATCCTGGAACTCACTCTGTAGACCAGGCTTGCCTTGAACTCAGAGATCCACCTGCCTCTGCCTCCTGAGTGCTGGGTTTAAAGGGCATGTACCATCACGGCCCAGCTTGAGAATTTTATATAGTGCATTTTGATCATGTTCACCCCTCAACTTCTCCTATATCTATACTCTTCACCCTCCTCTTCCTGACCTCATAAACTTGAGTCTTTGTCTTCTTTTCACTGCATCAGGCCCCATTAGCTAGTCTTGGGAGTGGGGCCTGGCCTAGAGTGTAGTTGACTTACCAGGGATCAGTCATGACAACTAACTTTCCTTCTCTAATCAGATACCATGCTAAATCAAGCACTGGCTGCTCTTCCAGAGGACTCAGGCACCCAGTTCAGTTTCTGGCACCCACACGACAGCTCACACCATCCATGACTCTAGTTCCTGGGGATCCAACACCCACTTCTGACCCCCTTGGCAGTGCACATACATGCAGGGAAAACACCCATACACATAAAATAAAATTAAATCTTCTTTTAAAAATGCCAGTAGCTTCTCAGAGACTGGTAAGATTTCATGCCCTTTCCATACTGGAATTTTATATGGCTTAAGCTTGCACAGATCTTATGCCTGCTGTCACAATCACCGGGAGTTCATATGGGCCTATTGTGTTCAGAAAATACGGTTCCCACCACCTCTGGCTCTTATACAATCTTCTGCTCTGCCCCCATCTTTCTCAAAGATCCTGAGCCTTGGGTGAGGGGTGTGGTAATTCTATGTCCATTAAGTAGAGTAGTGATATTCGGTTATCCCTTTGGGCCTAAGATCTGTCTACACACAGGTTCTTGGACCCTTTAACAGTGCCAGGCATTTGTTCCAGCTCATAGAATGGGCCTTAGATTTTTGACATTTATTTATTTATTTTTAATATATATTTAAAATTTTATGTGTATGGGTATTTTATTGTATATATGTCTGTGCACCACATATGTGCTTGGTGCTCACAGAGGTCAGAAGATGGTGTCATATCATCTGGAACTGGAGTTATAGGTGGTTGTGAGCCACTATGTGAGCAAGGGATTTGAGACCCAGTCTTCTACAAGAGCAGCAAGTTCTTTCAACTGCTGAGCCACCTTTCCAGCCCCTTGACATTTCAAATACAAATTTACTAATGCTCAGAAGGTTTCAGATTTGTTCAAGACCCATGTTGAATACACAGCTGACACAGGCTAGAGCCCACTGTGACACAAAAGCCTATATTCTGCAGTCTGATGGTGATTATCTTTTCAGATGCTTTGAACAGAAGATCAGAAAGCTGTAAGACTCCAGATAGGTTGACTTATGGGACTCTCAACTTTGTCCCTTGTTCTCTTTAGGACCTAAAAAGAAATTTAAGGCTCCTGAAAGCAAGGCCTCAGCTACCACCTTACCTGAGAAGCAAGAAATTAAAATTGTGTCCAAGTGCCCTACCCCACCAGCTGGCCATGGGGTGTGTCGGTTGGGAAAGGAAGGCCCTGGACCTCAGGAGCCCCTGACACAGGAGGCAGCAATCTTCCCCCTTGAAGATGATGGTTCCAGTGACCTGGACTTGGAGCAACTCATGGAAGACATTGGAGAGACAGAGGAGAGAGGGGAGTCACAGCAGAGGGATGGCTCAGAGGGGTTCCTGGCAGCCCTTTTTGAGGAGTAGTGTGTTCTGGTCCTCCTTCTGTTGTCTGCCTCCCAGCGTTTGAGCAGCTGTAGAATGTTGGGGTTGTTGGTCTGTTACGTGGATCAAATCAGCTGTGCAGCTTGTGTTAATAAAGCAGGTCTGGGGCTCCTGCTGAGGTCTGTTTCCTTTCGTGTCACTAGGGCAAACTGCCTGCTCTGGACAGTATAGGAAGCTGGGCACAGACCTGGGGGAACCTCCAGAAAAGCATGTCAGTGAGTCCTGGCTCTGCTCCTCCGTGGGAGTGACATGACCTTAGGAAAGTGTTGTAACCATCTGGTGTTTAGTTCCCTGTCTCATGCCATCTATCTAGGGTTGGTGCTCTTGTCCAGTGCCGTGGTACATGGGAACCCAGTCATGGTGTGGGCTGGTTATCACACTCACAGATGTGGGTGAACATTGTGTGGACTGGCTGCCAGCATTTGGGGCATCCCCTGCCTTGGGCAGCTAGAAAAAAAATTATAGAGGATGGGTCTTCAAGGGCCCGAAGTTAAGGATTGTGCCAATGTCCCATAATTAGATTCATTTAGGCAAATTGTGTGGATCTTTTTATTCTTGTGAGAAAGGCCTAGGAACTTAGAAAAGGGAACTGGGAGTTTCTCAGTTTCTCTGGGTTCAAACTCCCTGACGTGTAAATTTCTGTCCTGGCCATGGTTATCTGTGACCCTGAGCTCCTGTCTTTGGCTGTGGGTATCAGTGGATGCTGGGAGTCTTCCTACTAGAAGCAGGGGTGACCCTGAGATGGCCAACCAGACCCACTCATTTGGTCTTTACTATGGAGTACACAGTCTCTTCCTGGGGGTTCCCGTGGACAGGCCGGCAGGGTGGTGTTCCTGGGGAGGTCGGGCTCGAGAGGGCAATGGAGGCATACACGATGTTGTTATCCTGAGGGAAAAGAGGTCAGATGGCTGCTGTGCAGCTATGGCTGCCATAAAGCAGCAGCCGCAGCCCGAGTGTCTGTCCCACCCACACCGCCGGCCTCCACCCTTCTGCCTCCTTCGGCACCCCTTTAACTCCCTTCAGGCCTGAGTCTCAATTGCTCACCTTGGGGTTCTCTTTGGGGTCCATATATTGCCCTAGAGAAAAAGGAACATGGAGTGCTGAAGTCAAGCCATATGACAGGAAGGGAGACAGATGGCGGGGAGTTCCAACAGTGAGGTGAGGACCTTGGTTACATGGGAGGGACAGGGTGTAGTAGGGAAAGACGAAAACACTGAGGGAAGGCTCATGTGAGTGTGGGGTCTAGGGAGAAGTCAGAGCCAAGTGTGGTAACAGGAAGCTGGCAGAATTTACCTTCAGGTTCAACATTCTGGTATTTCTCAGTATTTTCAATGAGTCCCCTGCATAAGAACAAGATGGATGACATATCAGAGGCTGGACAAGAAAGACTCGAGGCATTAGGTTCTGGGCTGAAGAGATGGCTCAGCTAGTAAAGCGCTTGTCACATAAGCATGAAGTCCTAAATTCAGACGCAGCACCCATGTAAAACTGGATGCAGGAGAAGCAGAGACAGGCAGATAAGTCCCTGAAGTTCACTGACTGCCAGACTAACAGATGAGCTCCAGATCCAGTGGAAGACCCTGTCTCAAAAGATACAGAGGAGGATGGAGGGATGGTTCAATTGGCAAAGTACCCGATTCACAAACATGAAGACCCAAATTCAGATCCCCAGAGGCCCATGGAAGAAACGCTGTGCACAACTGGGTGGTGGTTTCCCTCATCTTTAATCCCAGCACTCAGGATGCAGAGGCAGGAGGATCTCTGTGAGTCTGAGGTCAGCCTGGTCTACAGAGTGAGTTCCATGGCAGCTAGAGCTACACAGATAAACCCCGTCTCAAACAACAAAACAAAACATAAAGCCCCCAAAACCAAACCAAACCACCACCACCAACAAAACGCTGGGGACAATGTGCCTGGAGAGGGGGGGGAGAAGGTGGGTCCCTGAAGCTCACTGTCTGGGCAGCCTAACCGAACTGATGAACTTCAGTTAGTAAGAGACCTCGTCTCAAAGTAAATATTAAATAAAGGTGGGAGAAACTGAGGAGAGTCATGACATAGACTTCTGGCCTCCACACACATGCCTAAGTGCACACATGCAACACAACATACATGCAGGAACACAAAATAGATTGGAGAGCAACCAAGGAAGAACACCAGTGATCTCTGGCTTCTACACACATGGGTATGTGTGTATGTGTGCTGGCACATATATATACACACAGGAACATGTATTAACATACAGAGCTGGGCATGGGCATGGTGGTGCATGCTATTATTCTCAGTGCTCAGGAGGTGGAGACGGGGACTCCTGATGTTCACCGGCCAAACATCCTGGTCTAAATGGTGAGTTCCAGACCAGTGCAACACCCTGTCTCAAAAAACAAACAAAAACCCCAAAAGAAATAAAACCCCCAAAACAACACCAAAACACCCCCCAAAACCAAGATGTGTCCGGAGAAATGACATAGTGGGTAAAGGCCATGCCATTAGGATTGACAATCTGAGTTTCATGCCAGGGATCCACAAGGAGGAAGGATAGAGACAGCTCTCAGAAAGTGTCCTCTGTCCTCCACATTATGCCATGAAAAGCTCATGCCCACATACAAATATACATACACATGCACACAAGTAAAATGTAATAAAATAATTATTTAAAACAGTGGATGGCACCTGAGAATAAACACACACCCACCCACACACACACACACACACACACACACACACACACACGCACGCACGCATGCACACACGCACACACGCACACACACATACAGGCACACATGCCCTTACACCAGGAGCTGAGTCAAGATGAGCATGATGGTGTTGGGCCTTCTCTGGAAGAGGCATGAGAAGCCATAGGTAAAGTGGCCTGGCTGAGGTCTCTTAGCACTACCTGATGTGAGTTATTCTAGGAAATCGCCTTGCACTGGGCAGTAACAGAGACTAGAAATAGGAAGAAGCAACTCTATCCTCTCTCACTACCTTGATTAAAACTAGAAGGTAAAACAGTTTCAGGTCTTCTGGGGAGGTGCCCAGACTAAGTTCCCGGAAGAGGGGCCCTGAGATCAGACTGGAGGAAGAGCATCTGACCAAAGGCGCCCCAGGAAGATGAAAGAGGGAGGAAGCTGGGGCTGCAGGGTTGCTAGTAGAGTGCTTGCTTTATGTGCACAAGGCCCAGGGTTCCATCCCCAGCACCTCATAAACCAGGTGGGGAGTGATGTCTGTCACCCCAACAGGTGGGAGGTGGAGGGAAAAGATGAGAAGTTCAAGGTCAACCTTGGCTACATAGTGAGTTCGAGGCCATCCTGGTCTATAGGAGACCCTTTCTTAGAAAATAGGGGTCAGAACAGGAAGGGTCAGAACAGGCCATGTACAATAGGGAAATGAAAAGGCAGGAGACAAGGGCAGAGAGGTTGGGAGCTGAAGAGAACAGGGCAAAAGGTGTGGAAATAAAGAACAAAGGATTCCCGGGGGGAGCGGGGCTCACTGACCATAGAGAAAGAAAGAAGGAAGGCAGAGACAGGAGAGCTGGTTGTTCTAGGCAGATGTCCAAGGCCAAAGGAAACCAGTGTCACAGAGAGGGGAGCTTCGGAAATGGAAGGAGAGAAGGAGAAAGAGCCCATGAGACCTGGGGGTGGTGGCTGGTCTGGGAAGAAGACTCGCTGAGCCCCCTCTGCCCTCCTTGTCAGGGTGTGAGGCTGGTGGCACTGAGGAGCCTGATGTCACAGAGGACAGGAGGAAGCAGACAGGATGCGTCCGGGAGGGGGGTTGTGAAGAACCCTGTGCGTGGTTATCCTTCTGTTTTTAATGTTATTGAAGGGGCTGGAGAGATGGAGCAGTGGTTAAGAGCGCTGGCTGCTCTTGCAGAGGACCCGGATGGTGCTCACCTGGCTGTGGTTCCGGCTTTAGTCCTCTGGCCTGTGGGGAAGGAACAGCGTGAGTGTGACATCCATGCTGATCTTCCATCTGTGTCTCACTGTTCTCCATGTGCAGGCCACCTTCAGAGGACGGGGGGAGCAAAGAAACTGCCCCAGGCACTCAGGGAAGAGCCTGGGACCTGCTCTGCTGGGCCGTGGTCCTGCACAGCAACCCCTCCCTGCAAATCTCTGCTAGGCCTGCGCCCCACCCCTGTGTCCTTGGTTTCCTGTGTCTTGTCTTAGTCCCCCTCACCCCATAGCTGCTTACCCTGCCTTCCTTTCGGCACCTCAGAAACGGCCTCTTTCTGGGTTATATTTTACTCCTCTAGTCTATTTTTCTTGGTGCACACTATGCTGTTTTAATTATTTACTATATGGTACAGGGTGTGCCATAGCTCGTGTGGAGGTCAGAGGACAACTTGTAGGAGACTGGTTCTCTCCACCATGTGGCTCCCGGGCTTGGACACTGATGCCTTTGACCCTCTGAGGGCCACTTTAACATTAAAAAAATCTGTTATAGCCGGGCGTTGGTGGTGCACGCCTTTAATCCCAGCACTCGGGATGCAGAGGCAGGTGGATCTCTGTGAGTTCGAGGCCAGCCAGAGCGAGTGCCAGGATAAGCGCCAAAGCTACACAGAGAAACCCTGTCTCTAAAAACCAACAAAACAAATCTATTATTTATTTTAGATACTGTAGCTTTTCTTTAATTTTAAAATTATTTGTACCTGTTTTGGGGTAGATGCCCATGAGAGCAGATGCCTGAGGATTCAGGAGAGAGCTTCCCATATGCCTGGAGCTGAGGTTCCAGGAGGTTGTAAACTGCCTGATGTGGTGGTAGGAGCAGAACTCAGGCCCTCTCAAGAGCAGCCAGTGCTCTTAGAGGCTGAGCCACCCCTCCAGCCTCCTAAAGCCACTTTAGTACATTCTGGGATCAGGCAGCGGGAGTCTCCGTCATTGGCCATTTTGTTGTTGTTGTTGCTCTCTCTAATTGTTGTCTTATCTCGGTTTGTCTTGTTTTGTCTTTGAGAATGTAGGCGAATTGGAGAAGATGAATTATTTTTGCAAAGCTGCCATTGTCGTTTACATGGGAATTATATTGAGTTCACTGGTTATTTTTGTAGTATAGATGTCTTTTCCTTAAAAAAAATCTTTATTTTTTTTTTATTGTATGAATGCTTGCCTGCTTGTATGTTGTTTGCCA